ACATGTACATGTACGTGTACATGTTCGGAAGCTTTCAAACGTGTCAAAGAAAAGTCTCACCCATGGAACTGACTTGTAAGCCTTTTTGTCATGGCCTACATGTACATGTAATTTCCCATCCATTTCTTGAAGGTGTTTTGCTTCCAAGTGTAATTTACAACATGTACATGTACTGGTACCTGGTATACATGTATGTCGCAGTATTACCCCTGGCATTTGGCTGACTAGCTGAATCCATTTCACCATATTTTGGACTGTACTGTACACAGTTGAAATCTGGTTATGCAGCTTAATCTGATTAAGATCCATCTCAGGACTTGCCCATCCCTCTGCTTATATGTACATTTGTTTCTTGAGCAAAGCTGTTTTAAAATGATCATGAAACTCGGTGCTACATGTATTTGTTTTTTGTACATTCTAAACAAAGGTACATGTACATGTTCTGTTACATCACAACATGTACATGTAACCGTACAGCACATTCTGGTATGTACTTGTACATGTACATGTACATGAACGTACTGTACATGTGTATTGGGTTGGAAAAGCTTGCCTTATTTCAGCTGCCCGTATTAACACAAACAGACAAATGACTGCTGGGTCGGTGCTGACATGCAGTACTCTTGCAATTCATGTTGTTCACGGTCCCCAAACCATTTATTATATGATACCAGCACACTTGATATTTTTATTTGCTAGACTGCAGTCTGTTTACTTGGACTGTGTGGCATCGATTGTCAACTGTTGGTGAAGATGTTTGTCTTTAGCTTGTAGTTTCAAAATAAGAGGCTCCATTTGAAATTGAATTCAGCGTTTGTGTCTAACTTGTACATGTGTAGAGATACTGGTACATGCACATGTATACATGTTAATTGCTCAGAAACAGTTGTCCCAACAATGTTATGCCACTTTTGTTGGTCTTCATGATGTGATCTAATGTGAGCTCAGCCATGGACAGGTGTCCACTGCACTGCACAAGAAGGCTGAATACACATACCAGTACTCGTACATCTCTTTCCCCAAGAATCTGAACATTGGAAACTGAGAGTACATGTACATGTATTAGGATTTGTGATTACATGTACAGTGATCCTAATTAAATCATGCAATGGGACACATACATGTATAAAGGTTAGAAGGCAAAATGTTTTTATCGTAACAGAATCTTTGTTAGAGGTAAAATGTCAACTTTTTGAAAGTCTGGTTTAAAGGTTTGCAATGATTTTATTGGCTAAGATGGTTTCTTTATATTCTGTGTGCTCCTACATGTTTCCTGCATGGGACTGCAGTATCCAAGATTTGAGCCTCACCTGGCAAGGATCTGAAAAGCACTCATATAATTATCCGATGGTATCTGATGTTATTTAGTGTACTCCATCCATCCTTGTTGCAGGCTGCTGGAGGTTTGAATCAACGGAGCATGACTGTAAGGAGGATGAGTGTAATTCGTCCATGCCACCCATTGACTCCATTCAACGAGCCCATAATGTCAGCAGCCAGTTCTGCTGCTGTAAGGGAGACTTCTGTAATGCCAACGTGAGCAGCAGCTACGTACCCGTCCCGCACACGAAGCCCATGCCCATCAGACCGGACGGTGAGTTGGTTGAAATTCTCACTGCCGCCTCTGCACATGTTTCAGGCACTGTGCATCTCATTGGAAATGTGAATGTAAGGTTTTGACATGTACAGTAACGCTCAGAAATAGAGGACCTTTTCGCGATCGATTTACTGCGAAGAATTCTTCGCGAATTGGGTGCAGTTTCAAATATAACACTTGTCCGGGGAGTCCTTTGTTTCGCGAAGGTAAAGGTCGATTCTCGAAGACTCTGCAGCCACAGTAAGGGAGAAACGTGAAGCACTGTTTGCGAAACTCCGGCCCCTCTTTGCGAATGATGTGCAAACATAAGCTGTAATTCGATGCCTAATGTTGAAACACGCATAACGCCTAGACCTTCAGACCTTGAAAGAATTCACCAAGAGAAACACCTTCACAAGTCACGAACATCATAATGCCCAGAATTGGAAGATTCGATGTAATAGGTATTGCGTATATATTAAAAGAGTAGGCCTGCCATTAGAAAAACGAAAAAAATGACATACTGTTTTTCAGTAGTCGGCGAACATTTCTGTCATGAAACCCATGTTTTAACGACTCTCATATGACTATTAAAACCACTTGCGTAATCAGAAATCCCATCCGCCTTCCCGTTCCTCCAATAAATTACATGTAGTGTGAAAGATTTCTCAACCTCTTCGCAATGGCATTTTAAGCTTTCACACAAACTTTGGATGCATTTTCAGTCAAAAATTAACATGTCATATCGATGAATTTGCTCCCGGAATCAAAATGCGACGAGCACAGTTCCTTCTATGGTTCTTGTATTTTTTATCTTTGGGGAGGCTGGCTCAATTGGATGTGGATTAAGATGATGATTTTTCTTTATGTTGTAGACAGGGTCGGTGGCACAAAAATGAAAGATTTTTCTTGGTTGGAAATGCCAGAATATGTAGAGGGATGATGAAATTTTTTTTGTAAGAGCTAAAAATAAGGGTAAGTCGCAAATAAAAACCATAGAGGTAACTACAGTCATTTGCAAAAGTTTAGGACTACCCTTAGAAAATGCATTCACCTGTAGAAAAACTAAACTTAAACCAATCAATCATGGCAACTTATATTTATTTTCAATGCGTAACGTTGGTACCTTGGTTGAACATTTTTGACTACATTTCCATGATTTGACATGTTAACAGTCTAATATTCAGTGTTCCCTCCTTTATTTCTGATTGCTTAGACTGGCTTTTTTTCCCCAAGCTGCCTTACAGACAAAATGTCATACAAGACCTGCCTTTGCAAAAAATTTCATTCAAATGGGTATACAGCACTGCACTGATGTTATGCACAACTGTAAAAACATGTTAAGTAATCATTCAATGAGACAATGTAATGCAGGCCCAGTGACAGAAATACCAATAAAATTCCAGGTGGTCTTAAACTTTTGCAAATGACTGTACGTTATGTTGGAGTATTGCAGCCAGGCCTGCTGCCTTGTAAAAAGAGCCCAGATGCCGGATTATCTCCACCATTGAGAGTGAAAAAATGTTGGTAATGTCCAGCAGCCTGGTCTTTTATTACTAGTACAGGCTTTTGTTACAAGACCCAGTTCCCTTTGTCCGATTTCGGAGACCCTGGCCACGCGTATAAAGAGTACGGTTCCGGTACCTGCAACCCCGGCGGCAAGTGGGTAATGCTCTCTGCTTTTAGCAAAGGGATAGACATGTGCTTGGTTGGTCTTAAACATGCCATTAAGGCTCAGGAGAATGGACACAGCTAATGCCTGAGCTGCAGGTTAGGGCATTATCAGCGGTCAATCTTCTGAGCCGGTCTTAAACACATCTAGTCAGAGTCAAAAGAAATCAGTGCATGATAGATTTCCAGTGATTTTGGTCCAGAATTTTACTTTCATTTTCCAGAACACCCCCCGTCCATTTTATGGTACATTTTTTGTGCAGATTGTTCAGAAGAATCTCCATATATATGGACTTGGGTCGCGCATGGCGCGTTCTGCCTGCTGTGTCGCATGCAGACTCTTGACCAACAGGGATGGAGTAAAGTGTCTTATATCCAGGTGCCAGCACATGATTTATGCAGCGGGCATTATCGCTTCTCAGCGGGCATTATCAAATGTTAATACACAGTCAAGAATAGGGAAACTGTCTGAGGTACATGTACATGTATTTATGAATGCATCTTTAATGCGCTCTGCTTTTAATGCATTAACATTGCAGGTTGTTAAATTGCTCCTGATATGAGCTTGAGGAGTGATTTACACATGTACATGTAAATATGCCTGAGGAACGGGGGTAATAATCAAGCACTTGGAAATCCAATGTTGGTAGAAATATAAAAAGTCTACATCTGCCATGATATTATTATTACAGTTGTCTCTGGCCAAGATGAAAATTTCTTTGAAATCAGGTGTTTAGAGGAAACTGGGTTGGCTTACTCAGTTCTGATGCCTTCCCCTAAGAATTTACCATATTTGCAAGTGCATTCTATCCTGTGGTTGTGTTTCTCATCAGGCATAGTAACATCACCACCCCAAAACAGTGAAAGCTGGACGACCATCATAGTGGTCATGGTCTGCATTTTCTGTCTCTGCGTTGCTGTTCCTGTGGTCTTCTTGGCCTGCCGGATCTACCGTGCCCGCACCCTGAAGGCCCGGATGGACCACCTGGGCATGCTGGAGGCCGCCCCACCCGAGCCCAGCGTTGACCTGGACCAGGTGAAGGTCCTGAACCTCATCGGGCAGGGCCGGTACTGCAACTGTTACCGAGGCATGCTGGAGGAGCATGAGGTGGCCGTCAAGATCTTTGCGGGCGCCTCACGCCAGTGCTACCTGAACGAGGTGGAGATTTACAGCCTGGCCCACATCGAGCACCCCAACATCCTTAAGTTTGTGGGGAGCTGCGAGCGGATGGGGCAGGACAATTGGCCGGAGTACCTACTTGTGGTGGAGTACATGACCCATGGCTCGCTGATGAACTACCTGAAGGAGAACACCTATGACTGGCTGGCCATGTGTCGCCTGAGTCAGACGGCAGCTGCCGGCTTGGCTCACCTTCATCAGTCTCTGGATAAAGGAGGTGAGATACATTTACCATTCAGGTTAATTTTCTGTCCAAGTCAAATCATGTTAAAGTTGTCAACACAGCATGTTTAAAATCTAAGGATAAGTATAGTATGAAACCACACCTATGCATTATAAATGCCAGTGTACTGATATGGCAGTATTTTGCTGAGCAAGCTTCAAATCTTAACCCTTTCAACGTGTCGCAGGACAAAATTGATTACCACACTTGCTGTCTTCAGAGGTGCCTTTGTTGTGTTTCCTGGAAAATTACATGTAACAGTTACATGTACCTTAGTACAGCATGTACATGTACATGTACATGAACTGGTACTGCACATTATGTAGATGTGTGCATTTTTTCTACAGTCATGAGTGAGAACCATTGGGAATTTTTTTAGTAACTTTGGCAACATTTCATTTGTGTAGAGATGAAGTACGCTTATGAAAAATACTAATGCTAAGCGCATGTATGTAGGGTCCAGAGAGCAGGTCAAATCCCTGGATGGGCCTTGCTGACTTTTTCCAAATATTTTGGGGGGAAAAAAAAATGCTGAAACGTTCAACTTGATACGTATACATGTACCTCAGCTTGACACATCCATGTGCATGAGCATTATTTTTTGCTTTCAAAATTATAACAAAACATTACTTGTACATGTACAGTGTAGGAAGTGTAAATTCACGACCCCTTAAAAGAGAGCTGTACTTTCCAGGTTTACTATTAAGCCGACCACAGTTGAGCAGTTTTCCTGCCTGGAATGATTATGTACATGTATATACATGTATGTATGTAAAATAGGCTCGGACATACATGTACATGCAAGTCTAAAAAAAATTGCACGGTACTTTTACATGTATGTACGTGTACGTACATTTACCATACATTTATGCTGCCATATGTTCCATGTGGTACTGTACACGACAGTGGAGATGTCTTCATACACATAGTATTCACACACTTGCCTGGACTGAGTTCTCATAGGAATGTACTCAGACACACGTACATGTACGCAGTTCAGCGTCGGATCATGCCATGAAAAATATGGCATTTGGAAAGGCCAGTCTGGGGGGGGGTTGAAGTGAAGACTGGAGATAAATTATGGCATACACATGTGTACATGTACAATGTGTGTGTGCATGTGAGTGTCGCGGTGAGGAGTTGACACTGGTTGGCACAGCAGGTGAAGGGTCCACTATCAATAACACCCAACCTGCACAACGATTGTACCATATTCCAGTCAGCTTAAAATGAACTCACTTTTTTCATGAGTGATTTGATTCAGTTACAAGTTTAAAAAGGCCATTTGCTGAGAAGGGCCTACAAATTAATGTACATGTACACGCACACGTACATTACACCATATTCAATTATTGATAGACATGTACAGGTTACAGCACCCATATATTTGGTAAAACATTTGGTAAGACTGAGATACATGGACATGTGCATGGACCCATATTGTACTGTATGCCTTTGCCAAACTTGCGTACGAGTACAAGTACATGTATGTGTACCGATATGTTTAAAGTAGTGACCTGTGAACAAGAGGTCCAAATATTAATGCTCATTTTGTGAACCTTGTGTGGACGAAGCTGGGTTCAGACAAGAATTTCCCTTCTCTGAAAAACAGGTTCAGAGGCATTTGGGAATCAGGGGTATCCATAGGAAATGTGGGAAAAAGGAACAGGTAATAAGGAAACCATCAACAAAAATCCAGCTTTTTCAAGAACAGTTCAAAGTTCAGGATACTTTAAGTGAGTGATTTCATAGGGTTTTCTTAAGGAAACCATCAACAAAAATCCAGCTTTTTCAAGAACAGTTCAAAGTTCAGGATACTTTAAGTGAGTGATTTCATAGGGTTTTCTGAACTACACAAGAAGTAAGGAATGTCCTTACCAGGAACGTTTGTGTACACGTGTGGCTTCTTGCATCGTGTCCATTCGGCAAAGAGCAAAACAAGCCACTGGCATGTGACAGCTGTTTATAGAGAGAGTTTATAGATGTACAGCTTTCGCATGTGAGGATTTTGGTTACAGCTAATTAAAATTCAGCTTTCTGTCATGAATGTAACAAATGTTCTGGTACTTTACCATCACTGCCCATTTTCTTTCTCCTTTTCTAATTTTTGTAGGCTCCTCCCGGCCGGCGATTGTCCACAGGGACATTAACAGCAGGAACATTCTGGTCAAGTCAGACCTGACCTGCGTCATTGGCGACTTTGGCTTCGCTATGAAAGTGTTTGGCTCGTCCGTGGTGCGAGATGGAGATGAGGACAACAGCACCATCACTGATGTGAGTGTCTGCCCATAGGCTTTGTACATGACCATGAGAGGGCGCTCTATATGTGAAATAACTGACATGTTTATCAGACTTATTTGTGTTGTGTTTGAAAGTGAATTAGTAAGTGTTTTAGGGGACCTTTTATTACATGTCACACTGCTGTTTCAATGTTGCTGGATTTCCATAGTGTTTTAGGTGAGACATTTTATGATGTCTCACACTGCTGTTTCAATATTACTGGATGTCCATAATGTTTGAGGTGAGACATTTTATGACATCTCACACCACTGCTTTAATGTTGTGGAATGTCCATATTTGAGCCAAATCAAATGGCCATAAGGATTTGATCACATAAAACAGTTTTGGATTGCTTGATAACAAATTAAGATAAAAAATATAGTGTAAACGAAAATCTGATCTTGAAAGGGTCTTACAACCCTAACCATGCTGAACCCAACAAGGTTATGCAGGATTTCAAGGGTCCCTAGGGGGTTAGGGTTCACCCTAACTATGCAGAACCCAACAAGGTTATGCAAGATTTCAATGGTCCTTTGGGGGGTTAAGGTTACCATGCTGAACCCAACAAGGTTATGCAAGATTTCAATGGTCCCTTGGCGGACTAGGGGTAAAGCTTGAAGTTGGATGTAATAAACCTATACATACATGTACAAGTATGACTATTTGCATTCCATCAAGAATTACACTCTTTAGCATGTATGGAATTCAGTTTTGCACAGAGAAATTTATATAAGCGATAAAAAGTGACGAGGTTTCAAATATGCATGTGTAACTGCCCAACAGTGCAAAAATAGCATGGCATTGTGTATCACTGTTTGTTGGTCGACCTTTGCCTTTGTTGAAACTACATGTATGAAAGTTCGAAATCTGTGTACATGTACCTGTATGGTATCGTACATGTACATGTACCGTACATGTACATTTGTACATGTATAAATATAATATACCCATACACAGGTACAGGTATGTGTCTTACATGCCTCAAGTGAACTGTCAAAAGCACCTCTACACAGTAATTCTCAACCCACAGCAATAACTCTGCATCAAGGATGCTACAAACACATTTTGCAAAGTGAAAGTGGATGCAAATGGGGCACTTTTCATTGAATTGCCCCTTCTAAAGTTGAAGGTCAGTTATTCAGTAGGCTAATAGTCCCACTGTTGGATGTGCTTGTCCTTGACGGGAAAGAGCACTTGTAGAAATTGGCGTGGCCCCAACATGATCTGAGAGCCAAGTTGTTCACCTTTGACAGAGGTCTTCAACCCCTCCAATTCCCGAATAGATCTTGAACGAGAATTTCTGTGATTGAGGGTCACACGCTCTTGACAGTGATCATTGTGTGATAACTTCATGTACTCATATAAGGTGTTCCTTGGCTGTTTCATGCTGCACTTTGTCTTTCATGGCCAAGTGCTTACCACATTCTACATACATGTACATGTATGTCCTTAGTCATGTACATGATGTACACTGTACATGTATGTATCCTGTAACCTCCCCTTGTTCCCATGCAAATAAACAGTTCACTTTCTAACCATACTACGTACATGTCGTCTAAACCTTCTAATCCCACAGAATCTTCCAGGTAAGATATCGGATGATGTTGTCATATATGAGATTGAGTAATGTCAAGAGAAAGCCATTGTGGCTGTTTATAAGAGACCAGTGCAATACCGGTACCCTGTGAAAGCTGAGAACTACATGTAGTGCCAGTACATGTACATGTGTGTACACATAAATGATAATAATTGATAATGTGCTCATGTACATGTACTGGTACAAAGAACGTGTTGCAGGTTTCTTGCAGAGTGGAGTGTAGTGGAAGATATGAGTCGGTAATTTGGTGCTGAGGACATTTTATTTTACTATTGGTACCATTTGTGCTGTTGCTGTCTGTAATTTGGAGGAAAAAAAACCTAATGACTTCTAATGTTCTGTAACTTACACGCGTGCAGATTCACCTGATCTGAAATCTGAAACCCATTTGAATTATAGTAACAGGTGTTTCTGAAATGCGAGAGCATCATAGGCATTACGGCTGACTAGACATTTAAATTATACACTGTCTGTATGTACTATGGTACATGTACATGTACAGTACATGTACATGCAAGGGCCCCCCATCCAAGAGATCTGTAGAGTACAGTGTCCTTCTTTACAGCAGATGCTTAAAGGATGGCAGCGATTAATGTTTTAGGTACAGTTTTTCAGTAACTTAATTCTTTTCTTCGATCTACAATGTACAAAAACTATTTGACTTTCCTTTTTGTTAAAATGTATTCAAAATTGTCTACGTGTACATGTATGCTTTCCTGGACAACTGAGAGCACTGTTGCTGTGATGTCGGCCAGGGAAGACAGCCAGAATTTACTCACTGAAACAAATTTCTGAGAGAGTGTTGTTTGCTTGCTTATTGCTACCTGAACTGCATGTACATGTACTTCTATTGTTACAACAGTGAATCATCAAAGAAAAAGAAAATTTAGGCCATCAAATCTATAAAAAAAATCAGCAGCTTTCTTGCAACAATCAATGTACTGGTAAGTGAGTTTTCTTCCTAAGATGACATCACAGTTTTTGCTCATGAATATACATGTAGAATACTCAGCAGCATAAACAGGCCAGCAAAATAATGACAAAAATTGGGAAACAGAGGTAACTAAGAAACAGGGATGCATTGTGGAGGTTAGCATTAGAAAATGTGCCTTGCGGAGGGTCCGCAATATGAATTTCATGTGGGAACTTTTTTCAATTTTCTACTCCTCTCAAATATCAGAAACCTACCGGTATCTGAGCAGCTTTTTGGTAACTCTCACTGGAAGTTGAAGAAATTTACAATTTACCATGCTTTTCCTGACAAATGAGGGCACTGTTGCGGTGGTGTCAGTAGAGCTGTGTTTAGAGAGAGTAACACCAACTTCAGACTTTGGAACCAAAATGGCTTTTTGTTACGAGTGCAGTACAGCATGTACATGTAGCTACTGTAAGCTGATTGTTCATTTGCACTGATGCATATATTCCACCATTTTGGTTCCAACAATTGACACACCCATGTCGCAACTCCCTCTTTACATGTACTATACATGTAAGGGGCTCTGGATATCAGTACAGGAAGATGGTGCTCATTTTGGGGTTTTTCTTTCGAAAATGTGTACCCAAAATTTACTCGTCAAAAAATACATGTATTTGTTAGAAAACTGTGTGCACTGTCATACTGTCTTGAACTTGAACAATTAATTACCAAATGGAACAAAATTTTGTGTACTTCTGCTGCAAAGATTTTGAAGCCAAAGTATGAGGGAGGATGATTGAGGCCGTATTTGTTTGCCAACTCATATTCCTGCCTAAAATAACTTGACCTTGCATGGGGAGTAAACATGGGAAGCAGTTCAAGATTAACCTATATACATGTATGTACATGTAGATGGTTGGGCCTGCCTTAGGCAGTCTTAATATGCACGTATACACTTTCGTTCATTATGTGCATACAGGCCATAGACTGATTCATGTTTGACCTGACTGAATGTACATGTACATGTACATAGTGTGACATCATTGTTGAGGGGCTGTACATGTATAGGCTGTACTTGGATGTGTAATTGTACATGTACATGTCAGCTCTATACATGCATCAAACATCCCAGAGGTACATGTACATGTAATAGTGCATGTATGCAGTTATGGTTTTTCTTCACCAAACTTAAATGGGTTCATCTGATGTTGTATGGTACAATCCTAACGCTCTTGGGCATATGCTAAAATCATATTAATTAAAATTGGAAGATTCAGGACTGTTAGCGTAACCCGTTGGTGCTGGAATTATCTTTGAAATAATGTGTTCAAGCAAGTCAAAAAACAAGTTCCCTCAGAGTATCCAAAACTTGCTTTTGTTGATTTTTATAATGAATTGCAGTGTTCTACAGGAGCATCTTAGTTCTGATTTGGCTCTTTATCAAATTCCGGGGCACAGTGAGTATGTATGGGAGTGTATTTGTACCAACACCCACACTGTGTTCTGTGAATGCTACCAGTATGTTTCAGGTGCAACCCAGTCAATATTGCTGTGTCCCCCTGTGGTTGTGAGGTCAGGTATGGAATGCCAAAGAGGCAAAACTTGATGGCAACACATTGATTCTTCAACATCGATCGATTATTCTTCTACGGTACATTGATCGATCGTTCTTAGATACAGGCACATTGATCGATCATTTCACACATCGATCGATCGATCTCTTTTGATCGTTGAAGAAAGAGCGAGGAAAAAAGAGTGATAGAAAAAGAGCGATGACAGAAATGCGATGACAAAATTGCGAATGAAGAAAACCGATGAAATTACATCAATGCCAACGTTATGCAACCCCTTCCAGTGCCAAATAAAACATGTGTTCCCTGTAACGTGTTCATTACCAGTGATTGATCAGTTACCCCTCCCCCCCAAAAAACAACTGAATCTGCATATTTCCAGTATACATAGATATGTTCGCATTAGGAAATTTGTTGGGCCAGAAACTTAATCTATCCTGAATTCCGGTGCAGAATCGCAATATTAATTATTTTTTTTACAGGTGTGTCCCTTAAAAGCATCCAACCAGCCTCATCTGTCACTTATACCAGTAGCAACAACATCAATTCATTCCACCATCCAGACCAAAAATAAAAAAAAGAAAAACCGATTGAATAGTGCCTTTTTTTTGTTTGGCTATTTGCTGACTATGCACAGGTCGGCACAGTGCGCTACATGTCCCCAGAGGTCCTCGATGGTGCCGTAAACCTACGTGACTGTGAGTCAGCCCTGAAGCAGGTGGACATCTATGCCCTGGGTCTGGTCCTGTGGGAGATTGGGACAAGATGCAGCGATCTGTATCCAGGTAGGCATGCTGAAATGTACCCCAGCCCCACCCTCACCTCCAGGCGAACCCCAATTCCCTCCCAAATCCATGGAGCAACATAGACTTGTCTGAGTTGACGCTGGACTTTTTCAGTCTCTGCAGATGTCATCAATTTCCGTTGCGGTTTCTTTCGTGGTTGGAATTCAAAACTTTACTTCATCCGATCTGGAATAAAGTCTACACTGCCTCTCCCCTAGACCCATTTTAAGTATGGCATGGTACTTTGCTATTCACTCAACATGTACATGTTGATTACTTGGTGTAATAGCGACACGTTCGAGCCCTTCATCATAAAGGGTGCGGGTGAAATTTTCTTGGACACTTCTTGTGCAACTGCACTTTGTCAGTGTATGAAAACAGTTTGACATCCACGTGTGGTAAAGTGCACTGAAGGAGCAATATGGAAATATTCAAAAATTGTTCGTGTTTCTTTTGATAAAGGGAAGAGACTTCTCAGTTTATAATAAGATTCTCTGTTAAAATCATTAACCTAAAGGGTCACTCAGTGGCCTATTGCCTTGCCCTTAAACAACAAAAAGGGAAGAAAATTCAGAACAGTAAAATAACAATATTCCAGCACGTTTCTGTGCACAAAGCAGTGCAATATGGATTTGTCCAACCTAGAATGACATGAGGGTGAAATAACGGTACCAGTAGTGAATGTCTTCCCCCCAACCTCCTTCCATGCCATCATTAAGTGACAGTATTCCTCATTATGGCATCGTTGTTACCTCAGTCCCTATTTGTTTAGTGACTGGTATCAGGTATCTTTACTGCGTAACATTAAACTAGCTATTGGTGAAACAGGAACTAGATTTGAAAACATCTAACAAAAGAGGGTACTTATATATACAAGAAGGTTCTCCAAATTCTTGGAATTGAAATAATGGCTATACTAAGGACCCTCCCTCCCCTCTGTCATCAAGTACCTGATAACTTTGTTGACTCGGAGAATTCCTCCCCGGAAATTTCAGCGGAAATCCAAGAGGATTTGGCCTGACGAGTCCATTTCCCAGTTGCCAAGATTTTATGCTGTCAGGCCTTCCAGTAAACACAGGAAAGCCAATCACCTAGTCTCAGCCTGCAAGGAGTCGCTTGCAGTTTGTGCTGGATTTGGAGGTCATGTCAACAACTGCTGTACATGTACATCCTCCTGGCTCATTAATAGGGGTGGACTTTGTCCCTCTCCCACACCCCCCCCCCCAACTTGGGAAGTGAAATATGGGTGTGGTCACAGGCATGGGTCTTCGTGAGTACAGTGTACTTGTGCAAGTCTTTTTGTCTGATGTGTGTACATGTACATGTTTATGCATGAGTGACTGATGCGTTGGGGATACATTGCATTAATACTTGTGTACATGTTCAACTTCATGTATTGGTCCACGTACATGTACCCGTAAGCTAATCACCGGCTGGTAGATACGAGTACTGTAGTATTCATTGACATTGGATGTATAAATAAATCAACCTACAATACCGATAGTGTATACCACCTGTTATAGTGTGCCACCTCCACTAAATAGAGAAAGAATACATGTACATGTGATGCATCTCTGTGGCCTGAGATGGCTCATATCAAGAACATGTACATGTAGAATACAGTGTACATGTATGTTCACCGGTACACCTACATGTACATACATGTATTTATACATGTACATGTATGTATGTACATGTACTGTATAGCATGTGTTAGTTCAACTTGTTCCTTTACATGTATCCCATCCAGTCTATCGCAATCCCACAAATGCTTTAATACTCAGGTACTCAAAAGGTGTATGAATAGTATTACTGAATATTGACTACAAGTGTACATGTACATGTAGCAATACATGTACAGGTACTTCAAGGGGTACATGTACATGTATGGTAAATCTCTCTAACCTCCTGAGGTGATCTGTCATTATTTTTTTCTTGGTGCAAAGCGAAGGGAAAAGCAGGACTTTCTGAAATGAGACAGCATTTATTTTTGTACCGATAACTGTAGATTGGACTTTTGGCGACTGCCAAAAACAACAAAATGAGTTAATACCATATGGCGTCGTTTTTGCCATTGAGAGACGGGATCTGAGTGCTCATACTGTAATGCTTGGGCATGATCTTTTCATTTTGACACAAGTATCATTAGAGCCAGATCAAAATCAACAAGTATCATTAGAGCCTGATCAAAATCAAAAGTATCATTAGAGCCTGATCAAAATCCA